ATATGAATTAATGATGAGTTAAGGCATGTACTAGTCATGAACTAATGTTTGTGTCATTCTCCATCATTCTCAGACTAAAACACTGGAAAATAATCTTACAGAACACTGGTTTTAAATGTTAATAGAGAGCGTCTGCTAAATGAATAAATGTTACTGTATTAATTACATCCTTGTGGGCAAAGGAGCAGTGCCCTGGGCCCTAGCCACCCAGAGCACAAACTAGTACTACAGTGGGTTTTTAAGAAAATCCCATGGAGACTGTATGGAGAATGACGCAAATATGGGTCAACATGAAATTATTGGTGTTTATTATTAGTATGTCTTTCTACGCTCGATAAAGAGGATCATTGTAAATTATGAAAGTAATCAAGTGCCATCCAATGATGTTTGTGTATGCAGCTGCATATGGCAAATTATATAAAGAATTTGAAATTACGCATGTTTAATTCATATTCTTTCTTAGCGCTTCATTAGTTCATGATTAGTACATGCCTTAACTCATCATGAATTCAGGTATTAGTGCAGGATTATTCATGTAGTGAATGTGGTGTCTATTTATTCTTTTGGATGTGATATTCAATCCAAATGACATGGATCAAATTCACCTAGTGGCATGATTCTGGAAGATGGAATACACTTTTGTCACTAGGTTCACTGTTTAAACAGAACTGTGTACTGGTAGTAGCGCTGTAGTCATTGTACTGTCTTGTACTGTCTTGTGCTGTCTGCACATGTTTGCGCTTGTGCACTTTATGTATAAATTATGTAGTCCCTTGTAGTTCTGTGTCGTCTTATGTAGCACCTTGGTCCTGGAGAAACGTTTCGTTTCACTATGTACTTGTATATGGCTGAAATGACAATAAACTCCACTTGACTTGATTTGACTTGACTTTTCTAAACCCAAATATGCTGTATAACTTAGGGATTTTACTACTAAAGGAATTTTACGACTGTACATCAAAATCAAAAAGCCCTTTCTTTTCATTGCACAGGAAGTATAATGAAAGTCTTATGTGCATGTTACATGCAACATCTATCCAAGATTTAAACCAAAGAGAGAGCCTTATAATTTTCCACACTGCATACACAGTAGATGTACAGTTTAAGTGTATGTGGAATCACAGACTTTTCTCTCTTTTTTTTTTAATCCCAGAAGTATGGCATGGCATTCAAGACTCTTCCCTCCTTTGGACTGCTGTATATTTTTAAAGCTCCTCGCCTTTGTGCATCTCTTTAGTTTAATGCAGAACAGTGACGCACACGAAGCAAAGGATTTAAGCTTCTGCACACTCTTTAAAAGGACACTCTTCTGGAATGCTCCAAAGTACAAATGCATCCTTTGAGTGTGTGTGTGTGTGTGTGTGAGACAATGACAAATATCATAAACAGATGTAATTTCCCCCCACCGGAATATAGTCTGACAGTCAGTAATTGAAGGTAGCTGAAAATATTACTTAGTCCTTGTCAAAAGAGCTTAAAGCTTAATACTGGCACATAACTCAGTGTCCTTCATCATTTTGAAACATTTTTTGTCATATAACCAAATGTTTCAAACTTTCCATAACGGTGCCATAAAGTAAAAGGAATCAAGATTACACAAATGTTACCTCATTCTGTGCGCTTTCAGCATCTAGTTATCTTTAAGAGATTGCTGGTATTTTAATAGCTTTCAAGAGAGCATTTTTGTAATAGCAATATAATACCTCTTGCACCCTGGCCAGAAGATACACATTCCTTAATCCACAGCATAGAGATAATATGTGTAATCTTAATGAGGATTTACTTTCTGGGTAAAAAGATGGTGACATTTTAACTGAAAACTCTTGCTCAATGGCTTTTTTGGAAGGCAGAAGGCATCTTTGAATATCAAAGTTTTCAAATAGACAGATTTATTGTGGTTCCATTAAGATAAACATGATTTAATTCTGTTAAAAGACAGATTCACTCATATCTTCCTTATCTTTTGATCTAGCTTGCTTTTTGAGTTATGGCAGACTGAAGCAGAGTCTACTCCTGCTGAACCTGTGTGGGCCAAAACCAGGCATTAAATCAGCCACTCTTGCACAATCCCAGTGATCTCAGAAACACATAGAACTGCCATAGGATTCTCAGAAGCGTAATGCTTCTAAAAATGCATCACATATCTAGCATCCGCTGCCACGATGCATGTAGATGCATGTATTAGGAAAAGCTTACAAGACAAAATTAAGCATAGATCACTATCTGAGATGTTTAAGACACAACAAACAGCCTCTGACAATAGAGTCATTTCTCATAAGCTGAGAAGGATCTCAACAACACTCCCAGACACAAGCGCTGCTCTACCAGTTGAGGATTGGAAGAGAAAATAATTTGTCGCCATACATGGAGATTTTAGTGACACTTTAAATTCCTGAGGCTACAGAAACAAGCAAAAATGTCAGCAGTGGATCCATTCCAGCATTCTTCACTTTTTTCTTTGCAAGCAAATAAGTCACTCTAACCAACACAACGATTCTTGAAGTATCTAGTGTACCATTTACGGCTGTAACCTTGCAAATGTTTCTTATTGGATAAGAAGTCTAGAGTTTTGGACTTAACCTTTCTCATACTTAGTTTTATATTGCCTACAAGTTGTGTACTTGTGTAACAGTATGGTAATAGCTGGGATAAGGAAATATTGCTATTATATTTGTGCAATATTTTATAGACACAATGCCTACCCCATTAAGTATAAACTCAGACAATTTATTATACCTCAACATATGTGTGTGCTGGATATGTGCTGATCAGAATTTTTCTTTTTTAATTTTCAAAGTATTGGCTTGAGTGTCCATTTATCATTATATTTCTAAATAAATAAATTCGGAATCAAATGGCAGCACAGACATCGCTGTTGACAGTTCCTCTATAAAGAAATAGTGCAGGGATTTTTCCTGGAATGTTTGCTGTTTAACCAATAATTCATGAAGATGCACAAGAAAATGTGCTTCTTAGATCCCAAAGTACTCACTCAGCCTGTCAGAAAAAATCCTAGTCAGTGAAGAAGTATAAGGCAATTTCAGCTATGCAAGACGTATGCCTACGTAACTCTATGTAAATTTTAAAAAATACAGCTTCATTAAGCTAGACACCAATTCATGGCGAGTTGTGCGTTTGTCACCTACAGACTTGCTTGAGTCCATTTGCGCTACAAAGGAATGCATTCAGAGAGAGAAGGCTGAGCCGTTGGAAGTAATTTGGTAGAAAAGATCTTAATTGTAGATCAAGTGGACAGGGTACAATGAACAGGTAATAGCTAGGAGTATAGTGATAAGGGCTGTAGACTCAGTGCCACGGTGAAGTAGTTCATTATGGGATGGTCACAGACTGTAATGTGTGGTTTGCTAGCACTTTACAGTGCCATTACAGGCTAAAGAGAGGCTGCCAGAACACACAGGTGCTTTATTCTGCTATAATCAGTGCTCTTTACTGCCAAATCCCTCCCTACTGTTTACTTCACTCTCACTGGCTGGAATACATCTCTCTGGGTCATTTTTGGGAACATCATGTTGAATAACTGCATTAAACTGAAAGAGTCTCTTGAGAGTAGTTGTTTTCCCAAATAGAAATAAAAATGTTTTTCCACAGAAAGTACTCCAAGTTCTGCAGAAAAGACAGCAGCTGTTGTTAGCATTAACGTAATACATAAATATATTAAACACTTTTTGGTAACACTTTAATTAAAGGCAGTGTACATAATTCTACATGACACCTATTCACAAATTGAAACCGCTTATGACAACTGACATATACCTACATTCATTAATTCATTCATTCATCTTCTGTAATCGCTTTATTCTGGTAGGGTTGCAGTGGATCTGAACCCAATCCTGGGAACACTGGTCGCAAGGCGGGGGAATTCACTTTATTTTAGGGCACCATGCACATACACATTCACACATTTATTCACACCTGTCAGCAATTTAGTGTAACTGATCCACCTACTTGCAAGTAGGAGGAAACTGGAGACACAGACACAAAGAAACAGAAAGAGCATGCGAAACTCTACACAGTAACCCAAGCTCAGGATCGAATTCAGGACCCTAGACCTGTGAGGCAGCAATGCTACCCACTGTGCCAAAGTGCTGCCCTCATATGCCTACATAAACATTTATAATGTCTCATTCCAGGTGCCATAAACACTGCATTTGTCAATTTTGATTCAAAGTTGCCATAATACTTATATTGGAACGGAACTGACTTTGTATCTCAGTCTACTTCTGATGTGTCAGGGGTACATTGTGGTCACGTAGCTTGCCAATAGCAGTGTAATGACAATATCTGTATCTGTATCCATATCTGTATGTATTGTATGATCTGATTCATGCCATGGATTTCTTGTTTATTGTCTTTTGTTCTCTGTCTGCTGTCATGTGTGTTTTTTTTTTCTTTTCCCTCTTCCATATTGTAAAGTGACCTTGAGTTTGCAGAAAGGCGCTATATAAAATAAACTTATTATTATTATATCTGTTTACAGCTCCAAATATCTGTATCTGTACCTGTATTCAGATTTAAACCTGAAGTGGGCGTGGCCTAAACTGGAAGTTAGAGGTAGAGATGCCAGCACTGGTAGCGTGGTCTATGAATTCCAGTTTCTTAACCTTTTTTTAAATCCTGCTTGTGTAGTTATTATTTTTATTTGTATCTGCCAGCAGTATTTTCTAATACTTTTAGTTGCTTTTATTTCCCAATATATAAACATACTAGTAGTTTAATTTAAAACAATCTGACCAGACCAGGCAGTTACTAAGGATGCTGTACATGCATTGCCCAATGACACACATTTGTTAATGGCTGTGGTCTTTGCTTGTCCAGTGAGCTTCATATCTGGCCATCATATCTTGGTTGCACCCCTTTTTTGTTGCAGTCCCGATGCACACCTGTAGTCTCATCCAGATGCTCTGTGAACCTTTCTGGCAAGACAGGCAAGACATTTTTTAAATTGTGCCCTTTCTGTTTGTATCTGTATTTCATATCGGGGCAGTGGTAGCTCAGTGGTTAAGAGGTTGGACTTCTGCTTGGACTGTCATGAGTTCAAATCCCAGCGCTGCCACTGCTGGACCCCTGAGCAAGGCCCTTAACCCTACTGCTCAGTTATATAAATGAGATAAATGCTAGTTGCCCTGGATAATGGTGTAAATGCGTCCATTTAGAACACATTATCTGTTCTTTCTCAATAATGTGTTTGTCTTCAGTTCCAACCTACCAAGTGAAGTTAATTAGAAAATTCAACAAAGGGGAGAGCAACCAAAAGTCTGTCATGCTTGCAGTCACACCTACACAATCTCTCTCTATTTTGGGGCCAGAGAAAATATATTTAACTCAGTCATTACAGTGTTGTTGAAACTAATGTTACTTAAGGGCCAGAGAAAATATACATAACTCTGATATTTTGATGTAAAATGTAATTATAATTGTCAGGTGTCATAACGTTTGAATCTAAGTCACCCAATAAACTGACATAGCACAAGTGTACAAGAAGTAGTCTCAATGACAGCAGATGCCTTTTTCAATAATCTTTTATAAATGTTTATGTAGGTCTGTCAGTTGCTCTGAATAGCTTATGTACTGTAGATGCCATGTAACACTGACCAAACTTTCATTTTATAAATGAAATTGATAACACAAATAATAAAAGTAGAGGAATCTGACCTTTAATCAGTCATGTTTTTGGAGTTATATCGCTTTCTTCAGGCAGCTTTTTAGAGTAATGCACATTTGAGTTATTAGGCCTGACTGAGACAGATCACTCCACAGACATTTATAAGTGGCATCTCACTGTGTAGCGGGTTAACACAGCTGCAGAAGGCAGTTTGCTCAGTGACACAATTGGCCTACATGTGTAAGAGTTTCCACTGAGGTCTGGATGAGCGACACTGTGCTACAGAGCTGATCTCTACTCCAGCTCTGTGGTCAGTCCAGACTATAAACAAGCCCTGCTGTGTGTTACATGTGCCCATCACACCTACAATATAACAGGAGTGACTAAGACAGCATAAATGGCACTAATTAAGCTAGCACACATTTTTGAAAGAACTTCTAAGCATTGATAACTACCACGACTCAGACCTCACACTATTACTCTGCAGTTCTGAGGTCTTGCTACTAGAAGGTTAAGCCTCAGAGCCACAGTGCAAGAATTATTGGCAAATGTAAAAAAAACAATAAATTTTTTTGACAAAAATCATCCAAAAGACTGAATTAAAAGTGCAGAGCTGCATTAGCATAGTCAGTTACCTATTATAAATGACTGTGGATCAGATAATGACTTTAGCAGACAATTTAGCATGCAAAAATAGCCTCCAGTGAAAAAAGGACACCCACATTTCAGTCTTATTTTTAATGCAAGTTACAGATATTCGTAGAATTGTGTCTATTATCTTTGGAATTTGTAGACTGAAATGGTGAAATGGTGAAAATGAAATCAACTTTAAATGAATCAAAACATTCAAAACTCAATGACTGAATGCAATGTATAAACTGTCTTCTTTTGCTTTTAAAAAAAATACAGCCTAGTTTTCCTTTTTAAAGCTTTCTATTTTAAAACTCTGGTTTAGCTCTTAGAATGTTGAAAATAATGCAAAATCAATATGGCAATAAGGTAATACTGGAAAAATACTCAAGAAGCCTTTCCAACAAAACAAACATTTTGACAACATTTTAATTCATGCATCTGCTTTCTCTTTCTGGTCTAATGATTAAATTGAAGATTAAACGTATTCAGTTCTCTTCTTTCTTTTCTTACATTGTCCATACTGATATCACACAGGCTTTTTTGTTACCACACAGTTACAAAAATCGCGCCTAACATAGTGAGAACAATCTTAACATGTTTTTACCCACGTGTGTTTTCCCCAGTATTACACATAACGACTAGCTTAAAGCTTTAAGCTTTATTTAAACTGTGACTTAGTTATTATCCGTTTCTCGATCACTTACAAATGAAATTCTGTGAAAACCATCATGTTTTCCTGTTGGTCAGAGCTGACACCATAAATACATTTATTGCATGTTGCCATTAATATCCACAGGAAGAAGTTAAGACACACCAAAGCTCCAAAAGAAGGGAAGTTAACTGTCAAAAATATGCCTTATTTTGAAGCTTAGTTCTTTCCTAGGGATATAATTAAAGAACACCAAATGTAAAAACATACTCAGTAAGTATCAGGGGCCTCATGTGTAAAGCAAAGGCAGGCAGGAAGGAAAAATATAGAACATAGTTTCACGACTGTTTTAGCTACTTGGTGAGAAAGTTAGCCACATTGTCTATATAGATAGATAACCAAGCTGCATTTGTTTTACTTTACATAAACCAGCTAAAACCATTCACAACTTACCTGCCTCTCAACACTTGTATGTAATGTTTGTGAGAATTTCAACCTTAATAATCTGTGCCAGTTTCCGTCATAACTTAATCTCATGTTGTTGGGCCTCTGGCAGTCAGCTAGAATGGAGGAGAATGATGTACAGCTCTGTATATTCATAAACATGAATAGCAAATAGTCCATATAGTGTTATTTTAAATGATCAAGTGTTGTTAAATATATTATTGCATTTAAATTACCTTCCTGTATTATATTCATTTATTTTCAGTAACTGTTTTATCTTTCACACTTGGCATGAGGCAGGAATACACCTTGGATGGGAAACCGCACACACACATTCACACCAAGGGGCAATTTAGAGTGACCAGTCCACCTTCTGGCATGTTTTTTGGAAGGTGTGAGGGAACTGGAGAACCCAGAGTAAACCCGCATAGACATGTTGAAAACATGGGAAACACTACACAAACCGGGGACCCCGGAGCTGTTAGTGTAGCAACGCTGTGCTGACCACCGTGCTGCCCAGTACTACAGTCATGCATCATAAGAGGATCATAAGTTGGTGATCTGAATGTATAAAAGAATTAAAATGTCATGGAGAAAGATGTCAAAAGGATAAGAGTTGGTTTCCTTGAAGAACATATGATTAAAACATGTCTCTGACAAAGAAACCTTTTCATGCTAAAACAAATTGCTGTCTATCCTCCTAAAGGCTTATGATACTCATCACGAAAAATCTAATGACAGGCTTCAGCTTCTCAGAGGGGAAAATACTGAAAGCTCCACGGGATAGAAAATGATGTCATGCTAGAAGACAGTCATTTAGCTGTATTACATTAAGGGATTATAATGCGCACTGCTAAAACACGATTCTTGCCTGTGATCAGTGAACTTGCAGGCATTTAGGAGATGTTCAAAGTAACCACAAGGCATGACTAGAATACAGTTCCCTTTTGAAGTGTGCACCCACAAACACTATTGCTTGCGCAAAGAAAGGAAAGGGACAGTGAATCGGAAATTGAAAAAGAGCTTGCACTAAGATTTAGATCCTTAAACTACCATAGATCCTTAAACATCCATCAGCAGGTCCAGATGTGCATTCCTCACTCTCATAACCTTCTTATTAATTTCACTGTAGTTACTGAATCAATTATAGTTGTTACTGATTAATATGTTCTAATGTAAATAACTACTTTTTTTGTCAAAGGATTTGTGACTGTGCCTTGCAAAAAAATTATATCTTAGCTTGTAAAAAAAGTTTTTGAATAAAGGCAAATTCAACTCGTATTTCTCTTTAGTGGTTTGTTTTTAAACAGATTATTGATCCTATTTATTAGATTTTTTTTTACTCATTTCAAACTTGAAAATTGTCTTATAACATTGGCAGATAATTTTGCTTATTTCAAGCATTTATTTCTAGAAATAAGCAAAATTATCAGTCAGTAGAATAAGACCATTTTAAGCTTGAAATGAGTAAATATGTCTAGAAGTAGGCTTCATGGTCTTATATTTGTTATACAATAATCTCCCGATGAGAAATATTAAATACACTTTACTTTATTCAAGATATGTTCATGTGCTAATATATCATTTTTTTTGCAGTGTGTGATCCACCAACAGGCAGTAAAACAACCCTACTACGTCACTGTGTACAAATTAAAGTTGAGTCATCTATATACAGGAGCAGGTGATGAGAATAGGGAGCTAATCTGGGTTCTTTCATGGGCTATGAATACACTGATCTCTTCAGATCTGTGTTATTAACCCACACACCCACATACTACACAAAGATATCTTGGGTTTTTTTTTCTTCCAGTATCATTGAACTTTGTGGAGGAATATACAAGGGCAAGCACAGAGTGTTTTAGAGCGTTCCTAATTTTTGCCTTTTCTGTTTGATCCTCAAAATGAGAGCAAAATAAAGTGCACTATTCTGTCTTTGCACACACTGCTGCCCACTGTGTTTGCTCTTCTTGATATATCAAGCTTGAGTAGATTTGCATTTCACAGAAACAAAACATGCACAGCTCTAATAGAGGGACAGACAGCAGATATTAAACTAGCTTCAATGTCAGTTTTACTCTGCACACGTTTGGACATCGGAGTGTATTTTCATTCTGAGAAGGAAAATTCTTTACTTGCTTACTATGCTTTTGATTTAGATAGAGCCTTATTCTCGAATTTTTCATTGGGTATGGTATCCCTTTTATATCAAAAATTACACATAAAGTGTTTTTTAGCAAGTCAGTATGCCCATTTCTTTTTTATTTTCTTGAAAAAGTGTTACAGCTCTGTGAAATTCAGTTTTGCAAAAGTAGTTCTGACAAAAACCACAACGTCAGCTGCTCATGGGTTTAATTAATTCTCATGTTTACAAAAGTGAGTGGAATGAAATCTTTAAAAGTGCAAGATCAATTAAAATTGAATCAGGCTGGAGGAATGCAGACACTCATTAGGCGCTGGAACACTTGCATTGAATGAAATGGAGATTATGTAGAAAAATCTTACGTTTTTGACATCTGGTTACAATAAACAATGCAAAATGTGAAAAAAAAAAAGGTTTTCATTTGACTCATCCTTATAGTTAATAGATGTAGGCAAAAAGGCTCATCTTTATCCAAATTGCTGTATGAAATATGTAATTAATTTTAATGGTAATTTATAATTTATTTTAAAATGACATTTTAAAAAAATGACAGTACATATTTAAAGATTTAAAAAATATTTAAAT